CCTTAACGTTCTTCCCGCCTCCTCATCTGCGGCGTTTGCTGATCTTGGGATTGGTTGGGGTATTGATCCGATGTCAGATGTTTGTGGCCGAGCACATTTATCGTCTGTTCTTAGCACGCTGAATGTTGAGTTCACATTAACTGATGCCCACTGTAAAAAGGACCTCTCGGTCAAGGTGGAGAGCCGCACACATTTGTGGAGTGTTGCTGGCGCAGCTGCTCGGATCCCTCCTGCTCTAGCAGGTTCCCGGGGTTCTGGTGCGTGTTGTGGGGAGGGGTGTGTAAATCCGTACCTGGTAGTCCCTTCCGACCTGGCCCTCCACCGTGGTCCTGCAAGTCTGATTGGAGGCTCGTTCACGGGAGTGGAAGTGCAATCTTAAGGGATTTTTCGTTTGATATTGTGAACGACTGTGTTGCAGAAAAGTTGGCTTAAAGCTTTTTTTTTTTTTTTAAGCATATGCATGTGTTTATGTAGCAGGTATTTCCTGGATTAAAATGTTCTTTCTCCAGCAGTGTGGTTTGGGGCCGCGTGAGCTAGAAAATGGGGGCTGACGGCCTTGGGCCTGGTTGGCTGAACGATGACGTTGTGCTTCACCACCACTAGGGGTCAGTCTCTCGCCTGATGATGGCCAGAGTTTACCCTGCGAAGTGTTTCATACCCGCTGGCAGACCAGGGGCCAATAAATTCTGGATTTATTGGTGTTTATCTGTGTCTCGATTTTATTGAAAGTCAACATACTAATCAAATTGCTCTTCAGAGTGAAATCTGCGTTATTTGGAAGTCTGGCTTCAATACGATTTTTTTTTGCCATCTTTAATCTAGATATTGTAATTTCTATATTAATCATAATTGTAAATGAGAACCTCCTCTGTGTTAGGCAATAAAGAAATATATATGAGGATTTAATTACACCATGTTTTTCTATGAAGAATACTTCTAGTTGATAATAAAACCAGGGAGAGCTGAGGCAGCCATGGCAGATACCTCTAACTCCAGCCTGGATTACATGAGATCCTGTCTCGATAGATGATAGATAGATAGATAGATAGATAGATAGATAGATAGATAGATAGATAGATAGATAGATAGATAGATAGATAGATGACAGATAGATGATAGATAGAGATAGGTAGGTAGGTATGTAGATAGGTAGATATAGAGCTGATTTGGTTATTGATGTACACAGGAATTCAGTTTAAAACAATCCAAGGAATTGTATTGTGAAGTTTCTGTATCAAATGTCACATGACATTAAAGTGATGTCCTTTACAAATTTAACCCATAAATTCAGACACTCCGATTGTCAGTTTTAAACCTGATTTTAGCTTGGGGTATAGCTTGCATGAGGCCCTGGTTTTAATCCCTGGGACTGGCAGGAAAAGACCCAGCCAAACAAAAAACAATCCAGTTTGAGCCGGAGAAATGACACAGTATTAAGAGCGCTCGCTGCTCTACAATGGACCTGGGTTCAGCTCCCAGCACTCACGTGGAGGCGACAACCATTTACAAGTCCGATTCCAGGGGTCAGAGAGAGAGAGAGAGAGAGAGAGAGAGAGAGAGAGAGAGAGAGAGAGAGAGAGAGAAAGAAAGAGAAAGATAGGAAGAAGGAAAGAGAAAGAAAAAGAACCCTCGTGATTTCAGAAGCATTGCCTGGGGTTTTAATTTTTTACTTTCCCATATTGTATGTGTGCTAGGTGTGGGTGTGAGCGTGTCAGTTTGCATGCTGTGGTCAGAGGACAACTTCCAGGAGGTGGTTCTCTTCTTCCACTCTATGTTTCGG